AAGTGAAAGCCATGAAGACATTGAAAGGCTATAGAACTCCACAGATACCATAAAGGTACAGATAACAGAATATAAGATATAAGACATTAGGGTATGACAACTGTTAGCTATTAAGATTATCTGTAGCAGTAATAAAAATCTACGTGTGATACATGCTTACAAATGTACAGGTTTTCATTGCTCTAAGGACCCCAAGTTTGAGACTACTTAAACTAAAATCACTTGCCAGAGAAAACAGCTATTTTGCTGTGCAATCAAATAGTAAATGATTCCTTCTCTGGATCATAATGTCCTACTCTGATCATTGTATGATTCTGTGATTATGTTATTATCAAGTACCTTTTTGTCTTTTAACTGGAAAAAGTTTCCAGAAAATAGTTGTTGTATGTCACATTCTTCAAAGTCTCTAGTAGCTTTGAAAAACTAAACTCTGTCCTTATTGTTATTGATTCTCTATCATTTGATAAATTGAGTACATGAAGGAGTGACCTGTCATATGAAAAATAATATTATAGAGCCAGGCATCAGTGGCTCACACCTATAATTTTTGCTACTCAAGAGGTTGAGATTTGAGGATTGTGGTTTAAAGCCATTTCAGACTTTTGTTTGAGACTCTTATCTTTAATTAACCACCAAAAACTCAGAAATAGAGTTGTGACTCAAGGGGTAGAGCACTAGTCTTGAGCAAAAAAAAAAAAAAGAAAGAAAGAAAAGGTCAGGGACAGCACCCAGAACCTGAGTTAAAGCCCCCGGACCAACACCATTTTGTGTGTGTGTGTGTGTGTGTGTTTAAACAGTGGACTTATCACCCAGCCAAATTGCAACCAAGCTTTAAAATATTAAGGAAGTGGCTGGGAATGTAGCTTAATGGCAGAGTGTTTGCCTAGCATGCATGAAGACCTGGATTTGATTCCCCAATACCCCCTGAACAGAAAAAGCTGGAAGTGGCGCTATGGCTCCAGTGGTAGAGTGTAGCCTTGAGCAAAAGAAGTTCAGGGAGAGTGCCCAGGCCCTGATTTCAACCCCCAGGACTGGTTGGGGGTGGGGAGGATGT